ATACTCTTTGTTCACCAAGTATTCATGGTCGTCAACCTTGTCCACTGAAGCCATAATTTCCTGATGATTTTCATGATATTCGTCACCCAACCTTTGCAATTCTTGAATCTTGTCTGTATAGAATTGAGAAGTTCTGCGAGGTTTTCCAGCTTTTTTGCAATTACCAATAAATTGTTTGATTTTGTCGCCCAATGCCTTTTGGCGATCCACTAGCGAACTGAAACCCATTATCCAGTTAATTGATTTGTTGATTAACAGCCAATTTCACACCTTGTGAAACTAAAGTTGTTTTATTTGTCCTCTGTTGATGCTGACACCAAAGCCTGTATTGATGTGATCGTAGGACACCTTTACGTCAATTCGTGTTCTTTGTCCTCTTTTGATGCTGACACCAAAGCCTCTGTTGATGTGATCGTAGGACACCTTTACGTCAAATTCGTGTTGAATTATCAAGCGATTCACCTGATAATCACGTCGGGGTCACCAATTTTAATGTTAATGTATTAACATCAAAGATATTGAGTTCACAGCACTTAAACTGTAACTCTTTAATTGAAGGTTGAGTTTTCAGCACTTGAACTGAAACTCTGGAAAATGAAAATGAGAGATCGAATATTGGTTTCAATCTGAATTTTATTAAATTAAATTTTTCCTTAAATACTAAATTATTACAAATTATTACAATAACAATATCTAAATTTTATTCTTTTCCTTTACCGTCTTCTTGCCTAAAGTGCAAGCTCAGCATATATTATGCAACCAAATTCTTTGTTGTGTCTAGCAACCAAGAATTAATGCCAATGCACTGGCCTTGATATATGTTACATATTCAAAGTTCAGTGCCACTGCACTTAACAAAAAATATAATGCAAATATTCAAGTTCAGTGCCACTGCATTTTACCAATTAAATAATGCAAAGGAAAGTCAAAATTTGGATATTGCTAACATCAGCATATATGTTCAAATTTTACAAATATTGTACAATAATAACAATAGTAATAATAATAATATTTTACAATAATAATAATGTGTGAACAGGGGCTATTTGTATATGTGGTTTTGCCCACTAGGAGTCACGATATCTCAAAAGTATAAAGTATAACATGTAATTATATATACCCATAATTGGGTTTCTAATGGTATGAAATGAAGATTATGCTATTGAAGGTTGACGAGTAATTACACCGACGATTAGTGAATAAATACAGCACTTACATGACAAACTCAAAAAAAATGAGTAGTAATTTATGTATCTTGTATTCGATATTTATAAAATGGGTAGTTAAAACTCAAGAATAATGCAATAACCTATTTAGCTATCTAACATACTGATTATAAGCTTTATTATTGATGAGTGTTGGTCTATTAGTCAGATTTTTTTGATTTGGTTTTTTTAATAAAAATTTTTTTATTGTTTTATTTATTTAATATATATAATATTTCCGACGTTTCGGTTGTTTAAAACCATCATCAAGGAAAAAATTTTTTAAAACAGCTGAATAGAATAAAATTTCTATATGAAAAAATTTTTTGCCAAATGTTTTAAATAACAACGAAGAATATGAAATCAGTTTATCTTTAGAATGATTTTTCTAGCAATGCATAATTGACAACAGAAATATTTTCTATATCTCGCCGCAAATTGTATGTGGGTCTAGTCATAATATGTAAGAACACTTTCTTGATGAAAATCCTTACCCAGATTTTGCTTCGGTGAAGGTATTGATACGGAGCCTTCCTTGTCTCGACGTCTTACCTTAGAGTCATATACAAATTTTATTCTATTCAGTTGTTTTAAAAAATTTTTTTTCCCTGATGATGGTTTTAAACAACCGAAACGTCGGAAATATATATTAAATAAATAAAACAATAAAAAAATTTTTATTAAAAAAACCAAATCAAAAAAATCTGACTAATAGACCAACACTCATCTATAATAAAGCTTATAAAAAAAGTAAGCATATATAAAATGGATACTGATTATAGTTGACTCGCTTTAACTATTACTGTTGTATACATCACAGAAACATATATTGTTTATACAACATAGTTCAAACAAATACGTCGAGATAATCCACAAGTTAATTCTTGGCAATGCTATATATTCTATATATTAAACACAATCAATATATTCATTATATCATATTTACTTATATAGTTTTCAATTAGCTGAGAGCAAGTTAACAATATGCTACCTAATAGCACTAAAGTGTTATATATGTTTTATTTTTTATTTCTTTATTTTTTTTGAAGTGTTTTGAAATAGCACATTATCTTAAGGGTTTTTTATCCAAAAATAAGAGTGCTGAATTTATTACATTGATTTAAGATACCATCGCCAATAAAATTGGCGATGGTGTGTATATTAAAAAGCACTTAAATAGATTTAAGATATTTTTATCGTATTATATTCGATAGTTATATTGATATATCGTACATAGTTGCTTGGTTGCAGTGGCAGGCCATTAGATAACTCCCATGTAACTCAATAAACGAATTTTTTCTATTTTTCTACCACATTCCTCACAAGAGCCCCTAGTGTAGAAGAGTAGAGACTAAATTCATGCGATCGAATTTAGGTAATTTATTAGGTCTCTCAACTTCATCAACGGAAAGTCTGATAAACTGTCAAAGAAGTATCTTCCAAAAAATCTATTGCCTCTGGATGTTTTTTTTTCCTTCGGATTTTCACAACTTCTGCAGTGATGATTATGAGGAATACGCAGTTTCTCCGCATGGATTTCTATACACCAAATATATCGTATATATATTTTTTCATAGTATTGCTGATCCCTTCTTTAGCTATTATAGCTATACCTTTAACTCAAAAATGAAAACATTTCGAAATAAGTATAAAAAATGTTAATATATTCTGATCACCTCCTTTTACTTCACAGGAAAAATATAGAAAAAAATTTGTATTAGATAATATAATTATTTCTGATATTTGCTATTTGCTATTTTTCCCCTTTTCACATTCGATTGCACCCCTATGACGCTGCAATTACATACCCAAATAACGTTGGTGAGCTTTTCGTGCACTACTGAAGATATTTACGTAGTTAATATCATTAAAGTTTTGCACAATGCACCCCAATCCCCATTCCCCAATAGCGCCATGGCCCTTAAGCGTCACAAGTCGTCTTAAGTAGAAGTGCAAAATTTAATTTGCTCACACACTCGTTAACAGTGCACGCGCCCTACTTAAGCAGGGCGCTTTTTGACAATGTTAAAATTTTTCGTCTATTTCATTCTTATTCTCATTTTCATTTTCGAAATGAAAGCCGGAAGCGAGAAATGCATAAAAACATTTTTCTGCCAATATAACTTCTGAACTTACACATCTCGCTGAACTCATTCAGCTCGTGCTATGCGTTCACTACGTCTAGTTCGTTCGCTTGTTCGCTTGTACACTCAACTGTTCGTTTGTTCAGGCGAACAGTTTGCCCATTAGCCCGTTAGCCTGTTAGCCGATTTGACACTGCAACAATTCACTTTAGCACGAAACTTATTGTGTGTGCAAGGGAAGCGCCCGCGAAAGTATGCTTCAATATTGTGCCTTTGTGTTTTATGCTTTTTTAATGCTTTTCGCTTATTGCACAAATACTACGAAGCACAAATACTACGCATACTTAAGTTGGAAGGAAGAGAAGAAGAAGTGCTATAGCCGAAGCTATTGCTGAAATAGAAGCTGAAGCTGACGCTGAACCTGACGCTGAACCTGACGCTGAACCTGACGCTGAATCTGACGCTGAATCTGACGCTGAAGCAGGAGCAAAAGTTGGAGCGGAAAGAGGTGCACTCATAATGCGAACACTGTAGGCGCCTGTAGTTTGAAGGGTTTTCTGAAATTTATTTGAAATAAATCGATGAATATTTAAATTGAAAATTCCTCAATGCGTTGCATAAACGTCAATGAATCCGAGTGTTACGAAAATTCACGGAAAAAAACTAAATAAATAAATTCAAAATTACGCTGAGTGAAGGGAAAATGAAAGAGCAACTAAATTGTTGGCAAAATGTTGCAAAATTTCATTTCACGCTAAAATTGTTTAAAGCCAAACGAAAATTTTTCAAAAATTTTCAACAAGCATGTGGAGGTTTGATATCGTGCTTGACTACATAATATGCACGCATGACGGGATGACATGCGTGACTCCTAACAACAGCCCCCGCCTGAAATGAGCCCGCCTGAAATGAGTGCACAAAAAATGCAATTACCGAATTTATAAATTGTAAACGTGTTCAAATGAAAAATATACAATATTCTTTTTAATTAATTTTTCATTTTATTATTATATATTTTCATAATATTTTTTTTTGATAGTTTTTTCAACTTTCAAAGATATAAAATTTGAACACTTTCTTCTTTTTTGGTCACAACGAATTCAACATTTCACATTTGCGGAAATTTTCAGTCGTTTTTCTAATTATTTCGGGTGCTGTTATATTTTGGAAATGGCAGTTCGACTCTAGGACACTTGGTCTTTTGGTCATTTGGTCATTCGTCCTGCATACGTCGTCATGTCATAAATACACAAGAGATATAAATACATATTTACATATTAACACTGCATAAATACAAACTAATAATTTTATGCTCAATTTATTTATTTTGTTCCTTGTTTGCATCCTTATTTGTTTATTTATTTGCTTGTCCATTTAAAGTATGAGTGCAAAAATTCGTTAACGATTATGAAAATAGATACGGAAATGAAATATGTGCTTCCGTAAGGATGTCTTCCTATCTATGCATCTGTAAGCAAACATCTAAACACTCATGGAATGTGTGTAGATGAACTTTGAGCTGTGTAAGTTTGCCTCGGTGTGTGTGTGTGTAAACAGTTCAAAACATAAATTTCATTGTGTTAAGAATTCATAAATGCAAAATATTCTGAGAACTTGGATTACATATATGTGAATTATTTATTAATTTAAATAAATTTAATGCCAACTTAAAGCTAATTTCACTAATGTCCTTAATTCTGTGTACTTTCAGCTTGGATCTGACTAGTTTGAGCTGTTGTATTTTGGCTTGTCTACTTTACTGGAACACATTGAATGCAGATTTTGTTTATGATGACAGGTAAGCAAGGTAGTGCTAAGAAACAAAAAAAAAACAAATAAAAACTTAAATGCTTTTAAAATATTGTGGTTTTAGTAAGAAAACCACGGAAAGGAATTTTTATGGTAAATGGAATAACCAACGACACTGTCTAGTGTAGGATGCTTTAAAAGTACGATAGACAAAACCAGAATTCCAAGTTTCATTTGACATGAACATAACGATTCAATAACATAAACATCACTAACGATACAGCACTATATACTACTCCGGTACTACAGACACTGTTAGTACTAATCCAATACAAAGCATACCAAGTCTAACCAAAGATCATGGAAAGCAGTAACAGCCCATCTTCTAAGCCACACGGCGCAATGACGCACTGAAAGGACGATAAAATTGCGATGCCACCCTTTTCGTAGTATTTTGTAGTTTTAATACAACATGCAGTATTATGAAAGGATCATAGATATATATATAATTACCAAATGCTACCTACAAACTAAAGTGATATATAAATTCTTATACGTTGCGCTGACCTAGATCGATAAAAAATCAACCAAATAAAATCAGTGATCGTAGAAACCACCATATATTAGTCACCATATATTAGCTACAAACAAAAGTGAGATATAACTCTTTATACACTCTTCTGCCTTAATAGGATCCTATCAATACTAATCTGATACAAAGCAAACAAAGTTATTTAAAAACTCCTTCAACTCCTTGAAAAGGTTTGCGGTAATTACCATGTTGATATATGTGCGACAGCTACTTTACTCTAACGAAAATAGATTTTAGACACTGATGGACACTGATGGAATCCAAACCTTCTTAACCCTAAGACGGTTTTTTAGGATATATATTCCATGATTAGGTTCGAAATATTCAAGTAAACTGACGCTTATTTTGAACTGCTATTCAAAACTTGTTACACATCGATTCCATTACAGTGATAATTTTTGTAGGCACATACCGTGAACTGACAATCATTCAGATAAATAACCTTTTCAGAATATCGAACAATTTTGCAAATGTGTAAGGGTCACGTAAGTTTCTCAACAACACACTTTACATTGCTTAAACGGAACAGTTCTGTCTGTGTTACCTGATCCATACCATAATTTTCATGTAAAGTAAAACCACTTTTTCTGAGATAATTAGTAAAGAAAAATTTTTTTTCTTCTGTTTATTGTAGCAGATTTTGATTGCAAGCCACTGATAGTTGAGGATATTTTAAAAACCTCGGTACTTACATTATTAAACCAGAAGCTTTTCCAATCTTGAACGGTTTTTAATTGTTAATACTTCCCCTTAAAATTGTGCAGTTATTGTAATTCCTTAGAAGTATTGCATTAGTCTTTATATTAATATTTCTGTAATCTTGGTTTTGCTATATCTTTTAAAGAACTTATTTAGCGCTTCGTATAACTTAATATCGTCATATGTTGACATATTTCTACTATTTTATTTGACTTTTGTAAGGCGTAACAATTTTCTTTATTATTTTCTTAAATCTCCGAACTCTTTGTTGGTTTCCAATCTGACTGTATCCGTCAAATTTCGTTTTAAAAATCAGGATTCAGGATCTTAATGACACTCTTACTAATACAGCAAATGGATTAATGTCAGTGATTACATTAGGGTACCAGTTATTAAAGTTATTAACTAAATTAATAATCACTAATAATTTTACACTCATCACTCTCATTATCAATCATTTCATCGTCATCTTTCTTCCATATAATTGCCATACAACGACCAATTATTGATATTCATTTGAAACTATCAACAGCGTTTGTTATTGTGTTCATGACGTCGACTAATATCATTCTTTTATGAAACACAGTTGTACACCACGCTAGGTTCTGGAAGTCTAGGATCTAGTCTTGTTGCTGCTTTAATGCTTTAAACTATACTTAACGTGTAATGCATGATTATTCCGATTATGCATGATTATTTTTCTTTATCATGTGTTTTATAAGTTGAAGTACTTATGATACTGGATCTCCATATATAAGCATAGATCCATAAATATCATTTTTGCACTATAATAATTACAACCCTCTAATACTTCTGTTCGGCTTGTTAAAGCCAAATAAATTTCTGCATTGAAGCACGTTGAAAGGAGTGCGGCGGCAACTTTAAACCCAAAACCAAAACAACATTTGTAAAAGTCATAAAAACCTTTTTATTCTGGTTTAGGCGAGCAGTTATAAATATAATAGCAAAACAATACTCGAAGCCACAAAGAAAAAACTCAATACGTAAAATGTTGTGAACACATAACAAATGCGGACAAAGCTGAGTACCATTTTTGCAAACACAACACGAGTACTTTTGGAACAGCCCTTTTGCCTGAGACACTAAGACAATCCCAAACTGAAGCGAAAGTCAAAAACCGAAACACAACAAAATATGACTTTGCACAAGACTACGACTCCAGAAATAGCACAAAAACAGAAATTCAAAGGACACTGGCAAGTTGTAACTACAACAGAGTATGCTCCATATATCCACCCACTTTCACTGCCATTCACACACCCACATATAGACTAACAAAACGCAATGTACCATTTATTTAGTTGCGAGCACCACCGCACCACCGCTACCGCCTCCCAGTTTCTTTGGTGTTGCCGGTTGCTTTTTGCTGTTACTATTCCTGAGCAAGCAGTCAGTCAGCGAGGTAGAATGCCATACTGACAGAAAGGCAAGCAGGCATGCAGGCATAAAGGGATGGAGGCATAGAAACAAGAAGATTGGGAGATTGGGAGGTAGGAGTCAGGCTACCTGAACTGAATTGTAATGTGGAAACCTAAACTAAACAAATTACCCATAAATTTTATCAGTCATGTACAATGGGCAGGAATTCCCAAGTGTTGTGCATTTTCTTTACAAGAATAATCGCGTCCTGTGTTGTTTGTTCCTTGAAACAAAGATTAAAGTTTTAAGAAAAATCAAAGTGAAATTTGAAACAGGACATAATATGTATGGCTGATCTGAATTTGATGATAAAGCAAATATCTCTTTCTTTAATGGAATTCCAGCTACACAGGACAACATGCAACAAAGGAAAATTGCTTCACATTAGGAGAATCATAGAAAAATAAGAACAAAAAACACTAGGAATAACTTATCTAAACAAAGCAAAATAGAGTTTAAATACTTTTTATTAAAATAAGTAACAGAACTCAAAATTTGTAAAGTTTTTTGGAACGAAAAATGTAGCAGAAATACCTTGGAATAGGAAAACATATTTTACACAATTAAAAGTTACATATCATTTTCAGTTCCAGAACGCCAAAATGAACACAAACTTCATACTTCAAATGTATTAATTGAACATAACAGATTCTATAAGATATTTGTATTCATTTTAGGAATACTACGTGTGTGCTCTCTTTAAATATAAGTATTATTACAAAATTAGTTAGTTTACTAACTAATGAACGCCTCTTCGTTTTTCCGTAATAATAATAGTAGATCCAATATGTCCATATTATAAAAAATGTATTCCTATTGTTGTGCGATTATGTCCGCACAAGTGTAGATTGGGATTTATTATTATTTGAACTAGTACTGCGACCAAAAGAATGCTATTCTACCAAATTCACTTTAAAGTACAGAAAGGCCTATAAAGCTTTGTGAACAAAGTCTAGAACTAAATCTGGAGAAGAGCTCATAATCTGGTGGCACAAATTCCACATATAACAGGTTTTTTCTGGTCACTGTTAAAGCTGGACAATCACAAAGTATATGCATCTACATAATCTGCATTCCCGCCAAAATGATCTGTACTGAAACTCGTCATCAACCTTAAATTACATTTTGAGAACTTCAGAACGCTTTGTAAGAGTATGGGTCGATCTGTCCTTTGCTCTGTTTGAATCCAGTAAAATTTTTCCAGACACATAAAATTCTTCCCCTCCCTGATTATTTGTTTTATACTCACCCAGTTCAATCCACAAAAGGGTTGGGGCCTATAAAAGCGGTTTTTGATGAAGTTTTGTCTAGCTCATCAGTTGGCTCATTAATTAAAATCTCTTTGTTACCCAGAACACAATAAAGACTTACTTCATTCCGAGTTCCCTGCAGTACTGTAGGAGCTCATAACACTCGAGAACCTGTTTTAACTTGAAAGTCCAAGAAATCAGTGCTTTAAGAACAGCCTAACTGTCAACGTTAATAATAATTCCCGAGCCAGGTGATTTTTTAATGATATTGAATCTCACGCATAAGTTGATTACGAGAATTTCGGCATGAAAAACACTCATTCATTGCCTCCAAAAATTTAGTGTTAGGTCCATATGCACCAGCAATCGTGCCTCCATTTATTTTTGATCCATCTGTGTACCAAATCAAATTTTGGGTCAAACTGCGGGTCAACGTTATCCCACCTTGAACGTTATGGTAGGTGCAACTCAAATTGATTAGGATAATGTTATTACAGAGAATACTTTTGTCGATATCTAATTTCTTTGCAACTATGCACTATGATCCTATGATGCAAATAAGTGTAGGCAAGATATATCTTTGCTTGACCGCGGAGATAACTGCAGCAATGTTAATCAAAACTTTTTGTAGGCAAGCTAGCCTTCTTCTTATATTTCACACAATTCTTACTAATCAAATAAACTTCTTTAGAATGCTATTTTTTATTTAACTTGGTATGGGAAAGCATGGAATCGGATGCTGGTGATTAAGAAATAAATGTTATATCAAAATATTTAATCTACTCTATTATTTAATTCAGGTATTTGGCTTTTATACCTACGCTTGCATTGAAACTGCAATTATAACAATTAATGTAGCACATTAATGGAAAATTTTAGCACTTAATTTTTAAAAGTTTAGAGAAATATTTGACAACACTAAATGCTTTTTGCGACCATAATCCATAAAACAACAAATAGGTTGAACCATTTCCCTAGGGGAGAGTTATACAATATTCAAAGGCGCATTTTTTATATCGCCTTCTCAATAAATTTGTGTACCACTTCACTCCACCATTTGGAGAAGTAAAATTCTTAATGAAGTTTATAAAAATTCGGTGTTACGCTCGATACTTTCTTCGAATTTAATATCACTTTAAAGTCTCGAATTTATCGAAGCGCGTCGCTTGGCTGCGACATGGCATATCGTGACCTGCCCGTCTAGACCAAGCCATGGACTCATAATAAATTCAAATGCTGCATGCCGTCTGCTTTATTGCTCGACAACTTAAACGGCAACAAACCAATTTGTTGCATTAGAGAATTTCTGCTTCGGACCTGCAATTGCTGCCTTTTAAAGAGAAACCAATTGGATTTGTACAAATTATGCTTTTCGTCTGCTGATTAGATGTGCATGGGAACCGGAAATGTCATTAAATGAAGCAGTAAAAGAGGAATATTTCGAACTGGGCAAACGGATAGCGGCATGTAGTGGGAAGCAACAGTGTGAACAACGTGGTTTACGAGTATTTGATGGAAGTGATTGATTTAAAAAAATCCATAACAAAGTAGACTCTTGAAATATTAAATTTCTCAAAGCATTTCTCTCCATTTTAATGCAACACAATTGACACAACAATAAAGACGACTTTTTGAAAAGCTTATAAAATTTTATTCCAATTTACAAATAATCAAAGCCCCTTGCAGATGGCGCATTATTGACTCAAATGTAGTTTGGTGTCTTTAAAGAAGAGATTTTGTTTGGTCTCCAATGATTGTACTCTAACCTTGTGATGTTTGCAAAAAAACTCCCAACGAAAAATAAAATAAATTAATTTCACACTCATTATAGAATGAGAACAAAACGAAATATATATCGGCTACTGATAGAAATGTACTTCTTCGGACGACAACCTGGTGACTAATGACTATGCTTTGGAATCTGTCAAGAATTTCATCTGCCTTGACACCGCCATAACAAACAACAGTGACATCAGTGCGGAGATCAGATAAAGAATCACCATTGCCAATAGGTGTTATTATGGACTCAGTAAACAGTTGGAATATACTATAAAGCTTTACGCTTTACGCAGAATTTACGCTTCTGTTTGGCACAGAAGCATGAGCAGACTATGACTGAATATTAAAGCAGCATTGAGAATTTTCATAAGATCTATCACGACGACCATCACATCAGAATAAACTATGAGATGTACGAGCTTTTTCATTGATATAGTTCAGCAAATTAACACTCAGCGGTTTCGCTGGCTCATGTCGTCATGTCATGAGAATAGATAAAGATGCTGCAGCTAAAAATATATTTAAAATTCTGATTAAAAGAAGCAGGCATAGAGGTAGACCCTTCAACCAATGGAATGATCAAGTTAAGGAAGTACTGACCGCACTTGATGTACAAGATTGAAGAAGGTTCGCACACAACAGAGGCCCCTAGAGAGATATGATATCTTAGGCTTAAAACCGATAACGAATTTTTATAGCCATTTAAGTAAATTACTATAGTAAGTATTTCATATAGACAATTGTATCATTCAATCATCTAATAAGGCATATATGAAGTACTATATTGCGAACTTCGTTTGCATCACTTTCAAACATGTGTACCTACTCAAAACTGTTCTAGAAACAATTTGAACTAAACTTAAACAACTTGTCTATCTCAAAGTATTAATATATTTAATATATTAACCACTTCAAAGTCAGCTACAACTTGTGAGTGTATTATGGTATTACTATTTCTAATTTCCCAAAAAGCTTAACCATCACCCACCTCTTCCTTTAACTTTAAAGTCGAGTCTCACAAGCATTTGTTACATTCACGCCGCTTTGCTGTGGCGATATACATTTTCCAATGTACCAACAGTGACTCAATCGCAGTAAAATATTTTCATGCATTTAATGATTTAATGGCACTGCCATTGGCTCAAAATATTCCAACATCCCAAATGACACCATATTGGCTTGGAAGCGTAAATCAGTTTTATTAGAATTGCCGCAAATTTAAGCAGCAAAAGTTGAATCATTAAAATTTATTACAAAATTTATGAGAATCAAAAAGCTCAAAACATTCGAATAACAATTAAAAGGAACAATTTGCACGATTTATGGGAATGCAAAGTGATACAAGGACATGCCTAGGCACGGCGAACAGGAGTGCGATGAACATAGGCTATTTGATATCTAACCACAAATTTGCATAAAAGCTCGAGAGTGCAACACGTACGTGCATGTGTTAACAATTAAGACAAAATGTGTTTTACATACCTACAGATAGTATCTTGCACTTACTCTCACACCCCGCTTTCACCCTACACCACCCATTGAGTTTAGCATAATTGAAATGAGTGAAGTGTGGTTGGTCCCGGCGATATTGAAAGAAAGTGCAACTTGGAAGGAAAATGTTCATAAAGTTGTGAGTAAATAAGTTGAGTATTATTTCCTAAGCGACCACAAAACACCGTGGTTAAACTGAAAGCATATTAAAATAACCACTGCTCCCCGCATACTGTATGCATTCACAATGGCATTCCCTGCCATTGTCCGCTTGGCTCGAGCTTCAATATTACATGTACAAATCGACAATTAATCACCCCAATGGAAGGGCGAGCTCGGGTTGTCTGTGTTGTTGGCGAAATTTATGTGATACCAACAATAACTTTGACTGCGCATAAATGTGTCGTAATGAGGGGGTGTGGCAGAGATGAAATAGGGCTGTGTGTATTGCTTTGCAAGAAATTGGCCAAGGAGTTTCGAGTTTCATGTTTCCGCTTGATAATGCAGGCCAACTTACCAAGCAACTGCCAACTAAACAAGTAAACTTTTAGTCAACAACGAAGCGGGAAGAGTAGCAAGAGGGTGCGTGGGAAGTATTATACATAAAAGCAGTAACGGTGCAAAATACACTAAATGGATGAGAGCAAGCCGTGCTGGTCGTTTCTAGATCGCTAGAAGAAATTAATTTCGGCACAAATGAAAACAGTACTTAATCATTTTAATTAATATGACAGGTGGTCTAAGGAACTGCGAATTCCGAGCAGTGGCCAAGTTGGCAGCTAGTAGCACAGTGCGAAGAATTAGCAGTAGGAACAGTGTCAGGCATAACTACTCTTAATGACTAAATAAATGGCATCAGTGCGCATTTAGTGGATACTTGCGCTTACACAAACACTAACACCAATACCAACACCGACACCGAACACTGATACTGACACTGGCAGTGATATAAATACCCTTACCAGTCCACAGATTATAGCACACAGTTGATTTCTGGAAGTAGATTAAGCGAATGTAGCATATTTTCTTAATGCCGTCACTACTTGAAATGCTGTTGTTTTGTCAATAAATACATTTTATTAATAAATGTTTCTTTATCTTTCACAGACGCGCTATCATGGAAAATAAAGACGTCGCTGGTATAAATCCTTGGCATGAAGTATTCTTCAATGACTTTTGGGGTACTCCTTTAACAGATGCTGGTTCACATGGGTCATATCGCCCACTTTGTGTGCTCAGTTTTCGGCTAAATTATTTATATAATGGCTTTTCTGCACGGAACTTTCATTTGATCAATTATGTGCTACATTGCTTCGCTACGGGCTTAGTGGTAAAGATCGCACGCGACTTGCTCAACTCTATGTGGGGTGCGATAGCAACAGGTGCTTTGTTTGCAGCTCATCCGATACATACCGAAGCTGTCGCTGGTTTGGTAGGACGCGCCGACTTAGCTGCCTGCATATTCTACTTACTGACATACCTGACATATACGAAGCACATAACATGGCGAGAAAAAGGATACCGTCGCCAATGGTTCGCTCTATTTTTGACTATTGTGCTCTCGATTGTAGCGTTGCTATTCAAGGAAACAGCGATTACAGCGTTGTTTATCTGTGGATTTTTTGATGCTTTACGAGGGTTGTGTGGAATTAATGATAAGGTATGTTGAAAAGGCATTAAAAAAAAGACAGTTAATAATACTTTATATAAATTGTTTTCTATTATATGTTTTATATAAACAGCCTCATTAAGTTCTAAAATGAGGTTATAGGATTGTTTAAAAATTCTTATTATATTTTTCTCCTTCCAGAAACGTAAGCGTTCTCTCATTATTTTGGCTATTGCCTTTGCGGCCACTATTTATTGCCGTTTGCATTTGCTGCCACAACCACAAACGGCATTCTCGACGGCCGATAACCCAATTGCAAAATCGAACTCCACTTGGACGAGATTCTTAACTTTCGCCTACTTGCCCATTTTCAACTTTAAATTGATGCTCTATCCGCAAATTTTGAGTTTTGATTGGGGCATGGATGCGATTCCACTTATATCCACCATTTGGGACCGTCGTAATCTTTACAGTTTATGTTTCTACAGTTTCATGTCCGTGGCGTTATGGCGCAGTTGTCGCATTGTGATACGTCGTCGACGCCTACTTCTATACAGACAAATCCAAAATGGTCAATACCAAAATTACCACCAAAAATATCGTAACGCTCGTCTAAAACGTAAACTGGAGATGCAACGAAATGCCCAGGCAACAAATGCGCAACCAGCAAGCACCAGTCCAGTACGAAAATCAAATGCACTTGGCTTACAACCACAACAACCACCAATCGATAAAAAACCATTAACTTCACATGTACACTGCGTTTGTCGCGACTGCAAACACGAGCTCAGCGTTGGACAACATACCTCTTCCTGTCGAGCACTCAACAATAATAACAATGTCTCACTAACAGCAACAAATTTGAACAATGAATGCTGCTGTCAGCAACTACTGTCTTCCACCACAGCTCCTCATACATTTTGGATTACATTACAAAAATTAATTGGCATATTAACGTTACGCAATGCATTCACCAAGAACAGCAACAACATCAACCAAGACAAAACCAACAACAACAATGATAACAACAACAACAACAATGAAGATGGAAACGAAAAATCTAACAACAACAACAGTAAAATTGGCAGTAAGAGCAACAGCAACAACAACAACAAAATCAACAACAATCACAATAACAATAACAACAACTATGGCAATGGAAACGACAACAAAAATAATCCAAACAAAAAGCCTATAGTTCAGCAAAATAATGTTGCCAACAATACCAACTCGCAACCGAAGCCTACTGGTAACAACAACAACAAACCACCGATGCAAAACAAAGACTTAAAATCGTATTACCTCCTCGCCAATATGCCGACATCTTCCGCAAATGCATGCATCATGCTTATGTCAATCGCATTCCTAACGCTTCCATTTTTGCCCGCCACCAATTTGTTCTTCTACGTTGGCTTTGTGGTTGCTGAACGTTTGTTATATTTGCCCAGTGTCGGTTATTGTCTTTTGCTCGGCTACAGTATCGCCAAAATAATGGAACCAGTCAAGCCACCAAAATCTCACAAACGTAAAATTATCATGATCATTTGTATGACTGCCGTGTTGAGTGTACTCTGTGTACGGACAGTACAACGGAATGCTGATTGGAACAATGAAGAAAATCTATACAGGAGCGCTATACATGTCAATCCACCGAAAGGTAATTAATACTGATCTTAATGCAATAATATTCGATTACTGTCTATATTGGGAGAAAAAATTATTTTATTAGCGATTATATTGACTGATCCATTGATTACTTTTCTTCTGCTCTTCTCTGCATATTTCACAGCTCTTGGTAATCTTGGCAGCATTTTGAGTACACAAGCCCGATATGAAGAAGCTAAGGTCGTTTTAAGGGAGGCTATCAAATATCGACCCAATATGGCAGACGTACATTATAATTTGTAAGTACATTTCACTTTTAAAAAATTAAATAGAAAGCACTTCTAGACAAACATGCTGTAATGCAGGCATTAAAGAGTCGAATAGATTGTCAGAATTATATGGAATTAGAGAATTTCATTGGTTTGAATTGCACCAACTTGAGTTTGCTTCAGTTGTCTAATTATTTGTGGAGGAAGAGATAAGAGATGGTTAAGTTTAACAGACCAAGGCACGTACTTCTTTTAGCTGTTAATTTCCCAGTTGACTTAATTAATTTTAATATCATTTAATATCATAAAATTAATAGTAATATCGTCAATGCTGTTCCAGAACGGCGCACGCAACTAGACAGTTACTCTAAAAACAACATAAACTGAATATTCCTTATAAAGAGAAACTGAAGATAACGAATAGAAAGCAACAAAATCATGATGTTACTGAAACGTGAACGCTCTGAAAGACTTGGACGCATTCAGTCTTCAAGACACATTTGTAAACATTTTTCAAAAATGTCATCAATGGCTGTTACACATATGAATTGGTCCGCCTTTTTGGGATTCTATCCATAACTTGAAGACGTTTTCGATGATGGATCTATTCATTATCTTCTAAGTAACACACTAGTACATAAAAATTTGATTCATATATGAGTAAAATACAAGGCCGTAAACTATAGTTAGGATCCCTATTGCGTATGATAGAAAAAAAACCAAATCAATTAATACTTAAAGCATCGGTCAGTCATAAGTTTATTATATATATATTAAGTCTAAAATACTGGTCGGAAAGCGTAAATAAAATAAAGCAAAAGTGGCACAGCTGATACTTCAACCAAAAGAAACAAGTCCTAGATAAGCGAATAGAAATATACAGAGTCATATCATTATGGGATAAATATTTTTATTTTTATATATGAATTAACTTTATATCACAAGTATATATCAAGGTGAAATAGAGTTGTCCTCCATAAATAATAATTATTGCCATATACTCGTATTTACCAAAAAATGCTCTATTTAATTGCTGTTATGGTTTTTTTCATATCTACTATATACACTTTTCCAAATTACATATATATACATACTATATATACTATATTAATCAATATTCTTACGTACATATGTTACGCGTCTGATTGTATGACTTCTGGAGTGACGTCATTCTAAGTTGACTATGCATGGCATTTACTAACAATTGGCATCATTACGACAATTGCAATTATTGTACAATGTAGCAATTTATGTGCTTCTTCTTTTCTTGTTACCTACCTTTCACCTGGCTTTTTTTCCTTTTTTCCAGCTTCAATCGACAAATGGCCTCCTCTTCTCTTTCTCTCTCTAGTGCTCTCTCGCACTCGCACTCCGTTTTAAATATTCAAAGAACTTAAATTGTGGGTATGATTGCAAGTGTGAACACGAATGCGAATGAAAAGGAATTGTAGGTGAACCGAAGTGAAGTAAGAGTTATTCCTTTGGTCTGAGCAGCAATGAATACAAAATTAGTTGTCATAGTCGTTGTCGTCATAGCCGGTTCTACTGCTCTGCAGCTGCTGATGTTGAATCTGATACTGGTGCTTTTAGCAGCCACGACAATGGCGGCAATCTCGGCCCTTCTTCAAAGTTATTCATATTTGCTTTTGGAATTTGGTCCACATTTATTCATTTCTAGGCTTAGCATGCACCACAATGGAGTGTTTATGACTTGCAACTGAAAAGATGAAAATGTATCAGTGCAAGAAACGAGTTTTTAATTTAAAAAATCCAATCTGAAAATCCAATTGGGAGTACAAAAAACGTTTTATGTGTCTTAAGTGTATAGAAAATGCAATTTAAATCCTAAGAAGGATTAAAAATTTACACGATGCATGCAATAAAAAAGTTCTGGATTAAGTTATTTCTGATGAGAATCGAATCCAACTTATTATAGTACCAACATTCAGAGTTTTCTAATTTAATTTACAAATTTTTAAAAAACAATTTTAATGGATGCTGTGATTCTATTTAAACACATTCATAAGCGCATCATAATTTTCAAAGGATCTTGCTCAGATAGTGTCGATTTTCAGTGGCCGACATTGGATGTAGCACATATGTACGAGTATTTCTTCCAGTCTGCGAAACACTTTAAATAGGAGCTTTCCGATATGACACTTAGTTTCTTCCACTATTTAAGTTTTTGGGCTGCGATGGATAGCAGTCAGCAGTTACTACAAAGCGGATTATAATTTTCGAAAAGCAGAACTCCAGTGAATATTTTGTTTGAATTTAAACCTCATAATGTTCATACTACTATTAATCCTTCATAATATGTAGGCCATAGGACGTCCTTAATAGGATTTCATAGGACATTAGTTAGAAAGATTTTTGCAGCTACTTTTTTTTTATCACCTCCATCATTTTAATGTACATTTATTAATATTTTTTTCCGAAGCCAACATATTCTGAAGTGAATGGTCTTCTTGATAAATGCGAACTCTTTTATCTTAATCATTTATTATATATTATACTCCTTTTCAACTCCTTTCTCCTCCTCGTTTCAAACCTATGCTTAACGTTTTTTTAATTTTTTTTTTCTGATTAATATATTGTGACAGAACTTGCTACATGACGTGTCTTCGTAACATACCTCTTAACATACATCTTAACAAAGTGATAAATACTTTCTTTCAACCATTGATTACGCCTATTATTATGAATTAAGATGGTCATAGATATTAGCTGCAATCAGCTACATATCACCATTGCCGTTGTCTATTATTAATTTTAGTTTACACACGATGTCAGTTTAGAGGGGCTAGTAGCATTGAGCGCTGACAGCACATGCATCTTTATAATGTTTAGTATGACAGCAGTCGCTAATTTTAATTATATTTATTATTTTTATAGCTTTAAAAGCTTGGCTCACTTATTGTCCTAAGAGTAGGATATAAGATGTATATTATATATTTTTTATATAAATAGTTTTATATATAGTTTTTTTTTAACACTATCACACCAAAGCCGTACAAGAGTGGAAACAAATTCAAATCTTGTTAGGAACTGACTATTATTCCTCTCCTAAACTGCAGCATTCATCTTATAGAATGAATACAAGTCATAATATTAAGTTAGACCCTCATGAAATAAGCACGTATATATGTAATACTTAGATTTAATTGGATTGCCTAGTATGGAATGAAAAACGTGCAGCTTTGTGATATTTGGACTGTAGTAGATCAACAAACTTCAAAAGTACAAAACGTTTATAGTCACATAATCTATTCTTAACTATACTGTACTGATGAAGTTCAATTGAGTAACCTGGCAATTGAGTAACCTGGTGCTGAATAACAAGCATATACACACTTCAAAAGTGCAACAACAACATAATAAATTTCTGTAAAGAATCGTTGTTAGACTTAAAGTCAACATTCAAGAAAATGCGTTTGTAGTACTTTAATACGTACAATATTATTCGCATCACTTAGAGTTCCATTTCTTTCAGTTTTTCATCTTTGGATCTTCAGTTTTTTGTAATTCAACACATATTTTGACTTGCAAAATTTTTAAGTTCCTCGGGATTTCCTTCATGTTTCACATTTCTTTTCCGTGTACCAAAGCGGATTTTTGCATTCGTTTTCATTCGAAGTTCGGAGCACATTTAACACTTTAGCACCTTAACAATGCAAAATGAGAAGCGAAAAATATTAATAAATAACGGATAAAGGCGCAACAAGAATTTCTAGAAATGAACCTATTTTCCACCGTTGGCATTCCGCTCCACTGACGCACACACAAGTGCACGCAATACACGAACAATGACAGTGGAAACGCGTTGTTCAACTGCAAACGAAATCCAAAAGAACAAGGAAAAAAGATGTGCGAGAAAGAGAAAAAAAAATTTTGTGCTAGACTAGAATTTGTAAGCAATGAAATGTCATGTAAATAGCTTTTGACTATTTTCCATTTTTCTTTTTTTTTGTTTTTTTTTGTTGTTTTTTAGTTTGTTTTTTTTGTTCCCCCATCCTTTGTTGGCTCTTCTAAGAAATGACATTGCAAAGAATCAGTCTTCTTCCAATCTCTGCGTTATTGTCGATCCGACATTTCAGCCAACAGCGCATCGTCGAAGTTGCAGTTCGCCGTTACATTCTTGTTTTTTTTTTTTGTCATTCAAGACGTAAAAATGCTCCTGAACGGCACACAATCGTAAGGACTTGCCTTTGACTTTCTATGCCAACAAATGAAAAATTCCTAAATGGCGCGCTCCAGTATTGCAAGTCCCCCGGTGTCCACGTTCCGCTCCTCCTGTACTTTTGTTGTCCCTTTGCCGGAGTCACACTGTTGAACAGCTCAGCATTTTCCATTGTAAATCGTTTTGTTGTCGCTAACTAAAAAACTTTCAGGGAAAAATAACGAGAAGGAAACAAAAAGAAAGTCCTTTTGAATGTTATGTGTTGTCCTCAGTTGAAAATTCAGTGCGACATTTCGTCATTTTGAATGTTGCAATTTTTATGGGTTTCCTTTCAATTTTTTGTAAATTTTTATCCTTTTTTTCCTTGCTTGCTTTCCTTGATTATTGTGTCTGGCATAATGGGCCGTTTTTGCCAGCTTTAGTGCTTTGGACAAATTGTGAGAAAATCCTTTTTTCCCTTTTTCATATATTTTTTTTCATTTATATATTTTTTCTTTTTTTTGTGTAATTGCATTTGAGGACTCGCACTTAAAATTTTATTTTGATTAAAAATAATTATAAAATTAAAAGCATAAACGATTAACTCAGAGATGCCAATTACTGTCAAATGCAGAGATTAGGATTCCTTTCTTTTTACTATATAAAGTAATGTCTAAATATATATTGATTTGAAATAAAACTTTTGAATTAAATATTTCTATAATAAATACGAATTTATATATCAAATCAAATACGTTTCATCTGAATTCAATTTCTTCGTATTCACGTCTTAATCAAACACAAAAGAATTTAATTTGGGGTGTCAAGTTAGTCATTTCTGTCACAATATGTATTTCTATGTGAGATGTAAATTCACCTTGGCTTGCCCAAAACTCAAATAATAAAAGAAAACATGATAACATGGTATACAGACAGCTCCCTCATCAGTGAAAGAGCTGCAGCTGGTGTGTATGGACCAGGCAAAAGTTACTGAGAAGCACAGAGGAAAAATATAACCATCTTTCAAGCGGAAATATACGCGAACTATACTATCGAAACCGTTAAATTGCAATACTAACTGACAGCCAGGCAGCTATAATGACACTCTTATCCTACCAGGTAACATCCAATGCACTTGTCAAAGTGCATTGACAAGTTGAACATACTCTGCTGGAACCATTAGGTGCACTGAATATGGATTCCGGGACATGCGGGTATTCAAGACAATGAAATGGCAGACAAACTTTCAAGAAGGAGCGCTGCTTCAATAATAATAGGACCAGAACCTTTCTGTGGTCTTGGCAAAGGAACTCTATCCATTCTTATGAATGGTGCTGAGGAAAAAAAAGAGAACTCTATTGGGAAAGGCTACCAAGACTATCACTATCTAAAATGCTTTAAGGAACATACAACCTAAAATGCTTTAAAGATTGCATAGACCGGTCAATGTAGGTTGAATAAACACCAAAGGAAATCAGGAATTTAATCTAACTCAGACTGCAGATACTGTAGAGAAGAGAGAATAACTGCATACCATGTGCTTGGGGAGTGCCCGACACTGATGTACAAGCTGAAGACACATCTAGGAGGGTATTTCATGAATCATAAGTATTCAAGACTAGGAAAATAGGCTCTATATTGCCTTTCATTAAAGAAATCGGACTTGGAGAAACACTCTAATCCGACTAAAGGACAAAATAGATCTTTTAGGTCACAGTGCACTACCCTTTTTCAAATAATAATAATAAAAATATGTTAGCGTTAACAATATTATTATAAACAATAATTTTAAAAATAAATTAAAATTATTATATTACCATATCTTATATAAAATTAATTCAAAAACGAAAGGTAATATCGTTTTAAAAGTCTAGAAGCCAATTACTCTTATTATATCATATATGATATATAAGAGATTTTTTTTTTCTTATTAGAAATTGCAAGAAAACTATGTAAATAATAACATTTGATAATTTATTCTAATAACCATATATTTTTAAATAATAATTTTATTTTTAAAACGGACTAATTGGTCATTAGTCAAATATACTATTTATACTATTTACTTTTATTCATTTTTATTTTATTTATTTTTTATTTTTACTTTTTATATTTCGACTATAATCTATAATTATCCTGTTTAGTGTCCTGGGGATCAATATCATATCGTATTCGTATTCATATTGGTAAGCCATTATGACCATTACTAATATTATATTGAACAATGGAGAACGCTGTGACCTATAATATCTATTGCACAATTTCTAAAAACACTCTGCTCTTCTAATTAAGAAATATTAAGACTATCGCTAAACGATATAATATTTCCTCGTTTGAGATCACAGATTTCACGTGATTTAATTGAAACTATATGTATTTATCAGACAAGATATGTGATAATAACAGGGCACTACAATTAAGACAATATATGTGTTAGCGTTAGCGTCGTTTAATGTAATCAAAACACTTGTGCCTTGGGCATTATGCCTACATTATTATTAATGATGACGTAAGTCCAAATATTATGCGCGGTCTTTATTACTATAAGGGTTTATTGTAATGTTCATATTGTTGTCTTTCAATGATAGAGTAATCTGTATTTGGTCCAGAGATATACTACTTGGATTTGCTAGACAAAAAGACTACTTTCACACAAAAAGAAATGTAAACGATCGATACATTCTTTGTTCCTAAGCTTCAATCTTAAACAACAGCATCAAAAGTAAAGAAGAGTCCTTTTGACTAACAGCCAACAACCATCAGGACACTAAAATCTTTGTAGATCACAACGAAATTGCTAACAAAGTCTATGTCATACCAAAACATACCCTGTAAAAATAATTGAGCTGGCATACTATAGATTCTAGAACATACTGGGTTTATTGATAATAAAAAGATGAATAATCTTGTCTAGAAAGAAATATCATCCTTGCTTGTTAGCCAAGAAATTTTTCTGTTTCAATTTCTGATATATAAATTCTTCATATAATGCAAATAGATTAAATAGTATTAAAAAAAATTCGTTGCTACACTAGAATTATAGGAGGACAAAATAAAATCATTTGATTAGTTATTCATATACCTTTTGAAGTAATTTAAATTAATTCAATCCTTTAACTGAACTTCATCTGCCAATTGTAGCATGTCAAAGATATTCGAATCAGTCGCTACCAGTCAGTGACCTTCTCTGAAGCAATCGTTAAACCATTTATCGTTACCCTTCCATATCGAAAAATAAATATAATCCGGAAGACACATTCAACACGGTCTTAGCAGTTATAATTTTACACATTTGCAATTCACATTTCTTCTGTTTCCACCTATTAACTGCACATAAGCTGCACATTTCCATCGAAACTCGCATTCGTGGTGGCTGTCTTTATGTGTCCCTTGCTCTTGCCTTTTTCACCACCCTTTCGACCATGTAGTTTTTCCTCAATGTCTGCCTTTACGAATTGCACTTGCCAAACCAATTATTGCCTTTGTTTCAACGATTAAGTGGCAATGACTTTAAAAATCTTTCAGTGACAAGCTTACAAATCTATTTTTATTCCATTTCGTCGTTTTCTTCTTCTTCATTGTGCTTTGATTTTTATATGACCACAACTCATAACGAGGAAATCATGAATTTGAAATTCGAAACCAGTAAATAAAGTTCTTAGTGTTGGCACGATTACGAGTTCGCTACACTTTTTGGATGGTGTGTACGATTCCTGTAGTTTATGTTTATAACCTTATAACTTATTCTTTTTTATGTTTCTACCAGAATTGTATACGTGTGTCTGTACGATTAGACACTTAGCACTTTTTTACATTTGATTGTTAGAATAAGTAGGTAAATTGGGATCAGCACCTAGTTATTTTCGTTTTCCTGTGCTGCAATTTATTATTTTAGAGCCTTGTTGGTACTGGATTAAGTCAATCGGTCGTAAAATATTAAAGCGCCACTGCCTCGTTACCATCTTCTGGGGAAATCTTTATATATAGTTAATATGTATAGTCACTTAACTTTATATATAGTTAAGTGAGCTAATATTCGTTCGAGATGTTACTTGCCCATGTCCATATAAACTTGTTCGATAGATTGTATGTGTAGGTCCTTACGGATATCTATGTTTATAATGTACCAGTCCGCATTTGTGATTTGCCTTAGTATTGTAGCCACTGTATAACATTGATATTGAATTTTTGTTGTTCCATATATTTGCAGGTTATAGGTCCAAATCGGTTTAATTATTGCTTTAAAGAGTAGTATTTTGTTAGAGCTTCTTTTCATGAGCCAATGAAATTGTCACAATTTTGATTTGATCTCTTTTCGATATAAAACCTTCACGTAAATTTACTTTCCCCTTATCACTTATGATTTATGATTATAATAGACGTAATATTGTTTGTAATACCACTCCTACTTCAGCACTCAAATAATATTATCGTAACCAATGCAAGAACATTACTATTGTTACAAAATTTAGAACAAGATTAAGTGAATAAGTTATTTAAACATTGACCAGATACCATTAATAATATGATATTACACTACTTTCTGTAAGTTGGATGCTTCATCTTTCAAGAAGTGAAAGTTAGCCTGCTTTCATCTTTGGCAATCATTAAAATGCACAATGTCTATGTTTTTTGCAGAATGAAAGCAAACGATATTCAGAATCAAATATTGTAGGGGTTTTCAATAAACTTTCTGATAACTTTAGATCTAGAGAAACTTGCCTATTTCCATATATTGTTTTAAGATATATCATTTTTAAATTTCATTTTTACCTCCAGAGGAATCATACACCAGAAATTAAAAGAATATAAATTGGCCGTGGAATGTTTCCAACATGCTATAGTTTTTCGCCCAACTTTGGCAGGTATGTAGTGCTCTAACAATATTTTCTTTATTAAAATCAGTAGGACTAATAGTATAATTTGTTTCTTGTTTTTCATACTGACAGTTGCTTATCTAAACATGGGTGTCTCTCTAATTGCAATAGAGAAGAATCAACATGCAGCTCAGATACTTCGACAAGGTAGTAGAATTGAGGGCGCCAAAGTGCGGGACCGCAATGAACACGATAATGCACGCATATCTATGTATCTACAACTTGGTGCTCTACATGTGAAACAAGGCAAACTGAAGCGAGGATTAGCTGTCTATCGTGAAGCCATACATGCTCTACCTTCAAACTATTATCAGCGTGATGTGATTTATAATCGCATGGGCGACATATTCGATAGGCTTCAACAATGGAGTCAAGCTGAAAGCTTTCAAATAGCTGCTCTCAAAATCAAACCTGATCAAGTTGCTGCTCACCTCTCTTATGGCATGACATTGGCCAAAAATGTAAGTATCAACATCAAAAAAATGAAAATAGTTACTGCAGTGCCTTTCTGTCTATTTAAGCTGTCTTTATAATTGAACTACAGTACATCCATTTTCAAAGGAATTTTATTAAATTTTTATGATGTGATATGTTCAATTTTTTAGTTTTACATGAATGTAATTTCTTGTAAAAAGCATATTTAATTGAAAATAAGTTTAAAAGATGCTACACCAATTTTTTTTTCTTTAAGTTGGTATCACTCCAATACACTGCTACGCAACAGTTGAAGCTGCTCTGTTATCCCAAAAAAGTATTAAAAATATCTCATGCATTCTGTACATTATCCCCTATTTCAAAAAGAAACTTTTGGAATTCTACACTGACTTCCTATCAACTTTTCGCTCGTAAGTTTTAACAACTTTAATAATGACTGATACAAGGAATGCTCAGTTTCTCGTATAAATTTTTCAATCTCCGAAACTTAAAACACTATTTCTCTCCATGAAAACGGATTTTCAATTAATATCGACCTTAAAAGAAAATTCGCAGATTAAGTTGAAGACTTGATTTGATAATTAAAAAAAACTGACATTGATTTATATATTTTTATGTTTTATTTATAAGTTCCGGCTACTTTTTATATAGAATGAATATTCTCCAAAAGACTCCGTTTTTTACTATATAAAAAATTGATTATGTTTTCATATAACTATATAGTATTTATAACATTTTATTTGTACTATTTAAGAGTACACCATTATCATACACTTCTTCCAATTCTGATTACAGTCTAGCCGTATATCCGAAGCTGAAACCTGGTTTTTACGCGCATTAAAGTTGGCACCTGAACAGTCCAGTGTTCATCACTACTATGGTAAGGATATAAAATCGTAACAATAAATAAGTTTTAACAATTTATTTTACTTAGGTATTTAGTAACTCATAACATCATTTTTTACCTTATACAATATTTTATTACCTGACTGCTATAAAGAATTTCCCTTATTATTTTTTTTGCAGCTGAGTTTCTAGCTTCTCAATCCCGATTCGAGGAAGCTTTATTATTTCGAGTACGTGCATGCGAACTATCGCCAAAAGAATTTCCACTTGTTATGGCCACAGCAACTGCCCTACGTCTAATGAATCGTTTAGAAGAAGCAGAGTCATGGTATCGTAGGGTAAGTTCGCTTTCCACATCCACTTTTTTCCCATAAATTTCCCCACATAATGGGCACAATTTTATGTTACCCATTACAGGCTGTAAGGCTACAGCCAAAAGACTCACTCGCACACACAAATTTGGGTGCCGTTCAACATTTGTTGGGTCGCCCCGAAAAAGCCGCCGATAGTTACAAGAAAGCATTAAAACTGCAACCCGGCGATATTACCACACTCGGAAATTTAGCCAAATTAGCTGTATATAAGGTATAAGCCCAGAAAAGTTTAACTGCACAAATTTTATGCAGTTTATGCAGAGTAGATTTGATTAACATATTGGGTATTTCAGAAGAAGAAAGGCAGTGAAGAGGAGTTGGTAGATTAAGAAACTGAAAAGAATTTAAAAATGGACTTCGAAAACAAATTATATCAAAATTTAAAGAAATACTATTACTGAATTATTAAATGTTAAGCATACTAAATATGTAATATTAAGACAAACTATTTTTTTGAATGTATGAAATACACAAGACATGCGTACACCAAAATTTTGGTACATATGTTAGCCTGTAAATAATCGCGACCAAGATCCAAAGAATCTTAGAAATCTAAATATGCAAGCATTTTAGCAGAAACAGTCGAAAAGACGTAAAAAACTATTTAATGAATCAGAATCAATGTTTTTATGTGTACAACTAAAGAAGCTTACTAAAAAAACTAGTCTATAAGTCATTTTAGAAACTCCCTTCCGGAATTGAGACCGGAATTGAAACGCTACTAAAGCTCCTAAGTTCATTTAAGAGCAACTGGAAAAACGAAACACTTTCAGATGGCTTCACATTTGAGTTCCAACGGAATGGAGTATATTTGCGAATTTCCAATAAGAAACAAATAGAAACAGAAAAAAGAGAACAATAATAAATATTTAAATGTATTAATAAAAGAACCTCTATGAATTATTTAATAATTTTTGTTATCTAAGAACAGTTAAGAATTTAAATACATAAATGAATACATTATATAATTGCATATGAATATGAATATGTATTAGAATATGAACATGTTTTTGTGAATGTATGTGTTATTTTGTACTCGCACAAGCCAGCTACAGTCAAATACCAGATACCAGATACGAATTTAGGGCTAAGTTCTATTCATACTCGCCCAGCTTGGAGGCGTGCAGGTATTGGCGAGCTTTACTTTGTACAGTGACTGTTAAATGTATGTAAAATATATGTAAATAACCGCTAACATAAATATGGAAAAGAAAACGACAATGTAATATTATAGATACATAAATAGATATAGGTAAAGACATAGATAATGATGAAGTATAAGACAGGGAGTTGTGCGCAGGAGTGTGCGAAGCGAGCAGTGCGATCGAAAGATAATTTAGCTAAAAAATTGTAGATAAATGAAAAAACTAAATAATTGCAAACTAAACTAATATATATATAAAAAAAAAAATAATAATGATGAAATAACAATATTTTTAATTAAATGTGTAATATATTCACTGAATATACTATGTACGAGTATGTACTGAGAGGGGTCGGCATGCGTACATGGAGACACTTCAAATGAATTGAAATCAAGATATCAAACCGATCAACTTAAAGCAACTTTGTGAAGCAGACTATTATTAAAATTAATCTAATAAAACAATTAATAATTAATATTCAATTTAATCAACTAAGATTACCATATAAAATATTTACCGTTTATAGATGTGACTACTAATACAAGAAAATGCAAAAATAAATACATTAAATATATTATCAGATCAAAGAAAAAAGAAAAAAAAACAAGATTGAAAAAGAAAAAACAAAAATAGAATAAAATAAATGTAATTATATATATAAGATTCATTTGATTTGTCCTGATTGAGAGGTCTGCGCACCTCTCTTAAAGATATTTTTTATAAAAATCTTTTTATATTATCCTCTTTATATATTATATAAATTCTTTTACAATGTGTCCTTTATTGCTAATTTATTTATAGTCTATCAGTTACAGATTTTCCCATAATTCCACCAATAGCCCGACAGTTTTTGTGTCCGTAATTAAATATTACCAAGAACTCAAAATATATTAAACAAATAAAATAAACTAATAAAATATAAATGTTTGAGCGCTATTCTAATATAATAAAAAAAATGTTTTATTTTTTTCTTCATTTTGAGAGAAGAATTCACGTAAGTACCTTAAAAGCAAGACATCTACAAAAACTGCACAAAGAAACTAATTTTTACGGTAAGAGGCAGAATCAAAAGAATAAATTTGTAACATTAAAGATCATATATTCTTTTTATGGATACGACACTTTTCATTATACAAGTGTTTACATGATCTCTAATAGAAAGTATTAGATACCATCTCTTACCATCGTATGGCTAAGCACAGTAAAGAACAATGTTGGAGAGACCTAGTAGTGAGCATATTACTACGGTACATCACTGACATACATATATTTCTAAATAGGTTCATATGCGAAAAGTGTTAAACAAACAATTCATTTATTTGTTGCTTGATAAAAAATTTTATGGTGTTTACTCCCCAATCTAATAATCTCACAAGGATTCTGTTGTTTATTAACAATGATGACGACAAATTACCCTTTTTTTTAAAATTGGAATAACTGGTAAAAACAATGTCATTACTTCAATTTGGAAAAACAATAGGCTATGATTATTCTAAAAGACAGCAAGGCAATTAAAACAATTCTAAAACTATCTATTTGGTACATCGCAAATACTATTCTGCGCCCTATTACTCCGCATGTAATGAAATCTAGAAATCTTTGAGATGCCCACAAAGCTAAGTACTCTATAGATTTCTACACAGGAATGTCTGGACTACAGTAATTGCACAAAAAAATTTCAATAGAACAGCAACAGTTCATAATATTGAATGTATTTAGCCATAGTATTACAAAAACATATTACAGATCTGTACTGACTAAGAGTCATACCAAACATACCTAATACTAGGATGATTGGGTGCAAACACAACAGGCACCATTCCGACTTACATAATTAGCAATCATTTGTCATTTTAGTAACACATTGCTCCGAAGAAGCCATTGTAAATAAACCAAATCCATTCAGTTTAGTTTATATAGCTTAACAAATCTTTTTTCTTACTGAGAAATATTCTGTCATACTGTGAAGAAAATATTTCCCCAAACATCTGTTCTGTTAGTCAAAGAGAAAGTGTGTGTTTGTCCCACAATTTCTGAAACGATTGTAGATCGGAAGGCGCAGATTTTTTTGCGTGGTGTTCTTTAATCAGTCACCAGAAAGTGCTAGAATACATCATAAACGTTTTTAAATTAACATAAACCCGGAAATAAGATTGAATAAGAAATTTTAAAAGTCAATTTATCAAGTTAATATAGATTATTTTAAACATTTTAGATAATTATTATTTTAGATCTATATATGGAATATTTGTATTTGTATTTGGTTTCCTTTTCATTTTTATAACTTCTGCATGGATTAAAATTAAACACTGATTGCTGGCTGATCTTAATTAAAAATCCCACTACATGACTTCCTTTAATTGTGAATTATGCCAGAACAGATTGGTTTTTTTGATTGTCGACATTGCTAAAATCAAACAAAGTCATTATATGTTGCTTTTTACGCCGTTTTGCCACACCACTAACGTTTCTGTAAGATAATATTCATAATAATAATTTGAAGTTGTATACCTTGCCACCTCCCTCTCTTGCCGGTAATCGTAATTCCAATATTTTCTAGTTCCGTACCAAGCTGACATCAGTACTTTACACTCTCAATATTAACAAATGTGGTCAGGATATATCGATTCAACTCCAACAACCTCTCTATCACACAGACAGCGTATTGACCTACTTTTTGATGTACATGTCGTGTATTGAACATATTTTCTCTCTATGACCAATAATATCTCAAAGGTTATAGAAACCTAAGCCGATAAATTGGGTTTTTTGAAATTATTTTTTAAAATATTTACTTCATTATTACTTCTTCTCTAAACAGTGAAATATAATTTAAAGCTATTTAATTGTTAAGTAAATCGAAGAAATCTAAAACACTTTTGGAATATTACTGCTCGCGTATACATTTTGGAAAAAGAAACTAGTTGGCTGAGAAAAAAATTCTCATTAACTGTTACACAATACACAGTTACAGAGAGGACGTCACAGGATGGCGAAAGATTTCTTTTATAAAAAGAGACCACACTTTTAATTGTTGATACCCTCATTCACGTGGAGAGGTGCTGAAAGTAGAAGAGCAGGTTTCTAATTATCAGTGTAGTAAATTAACAACGAACGAACTGAATGAATTAAAATAAAAATTAATAAAGAGGTTTTTCGAAAACAAGGGAACTACAACAACAAAAATTCTTTTTGTATTATTTTAATTAATTAAATTTTTTACTGACCATACATCTGTTTCGAGTATTGCCAAATACCCATCATCAGTGGTCTTGGAAATAATTCTGGTATTTAATTATTCGTACTATAAGTATCAGGAATCTAACCCGTGCCCTGCCAAATTCAAAGCTCAGAGTCGGCGTTTTTAACTAACTGACGCAAAGCCGTACTTGAATAAAAAAATAAAAGTTAATTAAATAAAATGAAAACAAAATTTCAACATTATTAACTAAAGTATTTAAAATAAATACTGAAAATATTCTCATTATAAAGTGAACTTACTTTGTTGTTAATATACCCTTGGCAAATAAAAAATTATAAGCTAATCATCTCCTATTAACATACCGATTAGTCAGTAGGTTATTTCAAGTATGATCTACTAAAAAGTTTTGCTAGACCTTGTTCATTTTCTCATATTTGTTTCAGTTATACCTAGAACGGTCCATTGCAATAATATCGGTTGCAGTCAAAGCAATTCCAAAGTGGCAGTTAGCCTGGGAAATACACCTGTCAGTTGCTTAAATCTTCTGTTGCAACAAAATTTTGATGCAGCAGCTACTGAAATGATGATTTCTTTCACAAAATACTCCAACAAGCTTGGAAAAAACATTCAAGCAGTTCGAATATTCCCTGCCACTTCACACGATGTTGTTGATTGCGATGATATCTTTGCCACTCACTGCTGATAGCTCAGACGTGCACAAGCAGCATCAAAGCACTAAGTACCAAAGTACCGAAGCACCAAAGCAACAACTGTCAACAACATGAAGCAGCAACCAGCAAAAGCAGCAATGAACCCACTTGCTGTAGTGTACACTTGTCTTCCAGTCTCAAACGTGTACTTATGCTCATCCTTACAATTTTTTTCATAAGATGTTTAATATTTTTAATAGAAGTGCAAAGGCGCCCAAATGAGTTTACGCTGCACTCTCCACAAGTAACAAGTAGCGACAAATACTCGTGGCCTATCTGCATGCCAAGCTCCAAGACTCGCTGCTGCATTCGCTTTCGCCAACCGTACTCGCTGCACTCTGTGCAATTGCGAAACTGACAAGGATCATTGACTTAAATGCAGAAGTATCTTGTTATCGATGAAAAGAATATTCGTGCTAATTAGAGTGCCATGGAAATAAAGTAATCCGAATTGATTGAAGACAGTCAGTAAGAGAAAAAAGAGTAGAACAGCCAAACAAGTAAAATCAAACAGTTGGAATCGGCTATCGTCTTTGAACGGAAATAACTTATATCCTGTCATTTAATTAGTTAAAGTGTTTATAATAATTTTGACATACCCGACTATAGCAGTTATGCTTAAGAAAATTCAGAAAATGATAATAACTTCAGATTGTGCTCCATCAAATGCCAGAGCAAGTAGTTTAATGCTTCAACCTACCAAAAAATTAATACATTCTTGAAATCTTTAAAAACTTAAAATAAACTTAAAGTTGAGAACTATTCTGTACATGACATAACCCAACAATTTCAATCCTTGATGTAACTCAACAACTCTTGTGCAATTTTCACTTACAGAGACACACGAATCCACTTGAACCATGTAACTCACGCCAAACGATGGAAGGACTTACTGAAGCGGCCTACCAACGTACAGGCGCCGCAGTCAGCGACATTTTTAACATAAGTCAAATTATACAAAACACAATTTGATGTCGAAAAAGCAAGGGCAGACGGACCAACCGACAAACCCAAAATCAAATGGTCAAACACTGAGGCCAGGAAGATGGAAGTGCTCTTATAAAAGTTGACGATACTTATACGTATACTCGTATGTATGAAGTTAACATTCAACTTTAAGCGAATTTATAATGACGTATGGCCGTGTGTGAATAACACTTTTTGTGTGTATGCGAGTCGGTGTGTGTGAGTATGTGTTTCAGTGGATTAACAACCACATCAAAATTTAATTAAAATTTCATCAACGCTTGCTATAATCCCTCTGATGTCTCACGAATGTACCCAAGAACACTTGTGCCCGCAAATAAAAGGAGGAACATGTGATCATCCTTATGGAAAGCACGTGCCTCTTTCGCTGCTCACTGCGTTGCCTACCAACCGAAAAAACCGATTACATATGAAATGCCCATGCGAAATAATTTTTTCATGCCCTGCAGTCTGCATAACAGAATTATAGATAGAAAATATGCTGTCAAAATTATTAAAGTAAATCAAACAGTAATTAAAACTATGAAATAAATAATTGGAGAATCCATTTGCACCAACTGAAAGCTTATCAACTGTCGAATATCTGTATCAGTATTTGTACTAAGTTTTATTCAGGATGATTACAAATAGAATATATATAGTATCTACTTCAAATTATGTAATTCTTCCGTATCTAAATTCTTTTTTAA